TTCATTAAGAGTGTTCTCACCTGTATTGATAGACTTTGAAACTATGGAAATTTTCTCATTTTTAGTAAGTTGTTCATTCCTTAAGCGAGGGTTAGTGTCCACAAAAATAACAGGTATAGATTCTTCAATAGATAAAGTGCGCTTATTAAAAATCATATATGCTCTACTAGAGGGAAAGTATCTAAGAAAAATACCTTCATCGATTTTGGGATCAAACTTACCAAGATTGTCTTTTCCATTGTTATGTATGAAGCATTTGCAGCCAAAAGGATGAAAATAACTGATGTTGGGTCTTTTTCCTCTCCATAGTTCATATGGAGTCTTCTTGAGAATAGGTCGAATTAGGCATCTGTTGATGATGTGACATGCTGTGCTTATAACTTTTGCCCAGAAGTGATGTGGTAGAGAATTTTCCACAATCATGATTCTTGTCATATCTTGCAAGGTTCTATTTTTACGTTCTACCACTCCATTTTGTTGCGGTGATCTTGGAGATGAAAAATTATGAGAGATTCCTTGATCATTGCAGAAGTTTTCAAATGCTTTGCTTTCAAATTCTCCTCCATGATCACTTCTTATGGAGGATATGTAGTAACATTTTTCCCGCTGCACCTTCTTGCAAAAGACTTCAAAATTCCTTAATGCCTCATCTTTATGACTTAGAAAGATAACCCATGTGAATCGAGAAAAATCATCTACTATAACAAATGCATATTTTCTACCATCTATGCTAGCAGTTCTAGTGGGACCAAAAAGGTCTATATGCAGGAGTTGAAGAAGCTTTGTAGTAGAGACAATATTTTTAACTTTAAAAGAGGACCTGGTTTGTTTTCCTAGTTGACATGCATCACAAATTTGATCTTTTAAAAAATCTAGTTTTGGAAGACCAATGATAAGATCATTTTTGAAAAGTTTATGAATGGTATGCATGCTAGCATGACCAAGTTTTCTATGCCATACCCAAGGATCATCAATCATAGAAGCTAGATAGATTTGATTACCAAGACAGTCTAAGTTACTGATGGTATAGACATTCATGTCCCTATTTCTAGAGAGAATAATTTTACCTGATTTGTCTTCAATGAACCAACCATATTTTTTGAAACGAACCTCGTAGTCATTGTCACATAGTTGACTGATACTGAGAAGATTGTAGCCAAGTTCATCAACCAGGTACACTTCGTTTACATCACATGTTGAGCTGAGGGGAACTCTTCCAACTCCAATTATATTTACTTTTGATTTATCTCCAAAGGTGATTGTTCCTCTATCTAGTTTGGTGACCGTTTTAAATAGTTGTTTGTCACCAGTCATATGTCTGGAACACGCGCTATCAAGGTACCATTTTCTTTTTCGATTCTTCTTGCGGTGTTTCTGTAAAAAAGGATTACTTATTTTTAGGTACCCAAGCCTGCTTGGGTCCTGAATGGTTAGAGCTCTGAGTATTAGCTTGACTAGAATACTTGGATTGCCAGACCCATCTCCTGTTGTTCTTGAACCTGCAATGGTTAGAAGTATGACCAAGTTTTCCGCAATAAAAATAAGAGGGATTATTGGGATTTTCAGAGCATTTTTCTCCTCTGATTTTAATCCTGCATTGGTTAGTATTGTGACCATTTTTGCCATAATAAGTACATGCAGAAATATTTCTAGTTCTAGTCGAAGATGTATGAGGAGCAATCTGATTTGATCTAACAGAACTATGACTGGTGAATTTTCGCAATCCATTCAGTTGGAGTTGAAGTTCATTAACTTCATCTTGAAGCATATCTCGCTCAATTTCATACACTTCCAACTTTAAAGCCCAGTCTTTCTTTTCTCTTTTGATTTTTCTAAGTTCATTTAGAACTCTCTCAACATCTGCAAGAGCAATATCAATAAATTCTTGGAGTTCATAATAATTAGGACATGTAGGAAGACGAACCTCACTAGTTCCTTCGTCTGCCATGAGACCAAGTTCACCTGAGTGCTCATTGCTATCTTCTTTCATGGCCATGAAACACATGTTGGCAATTTCTTCGTGATTAGATTCATCTTCATCACTCCAAGCTCCAAAGGACTTTTTCTTTTGAAAATTTATACTTAGTTTCTTTTTCAGTTCAGGGAAATTAGCTTAAATGTGTCCATATTTTTCACACTTATAGCATCTTCCATCATTTTTATCATTATCATTGTTCATCTTTTCTTTTCTGAAGTTTGATTTACCTCTCCTGCTATTTCTATTTTTCTTCATCATGCTTGTTATAACTTTGGAGAGCATAGCTATATTTTCATCTTGTTCTCCTCCTTTCTCTTCTTCTTCATTTTCTGATTCAACCACAGTTGCTTTGAATGCAACTGTCTTCTTCTTTTCCTGTTGAACATGCCTGTCTAAGTGTATTTTTCCAAACGCAATTAGATCACCTCTAAGTTCATCATAGGACATTTTGTCAAGATCCTTACATTCTAGTGCAATGACTTTGGGTTGCCAGATTGTGGGAAGACTTCTCAAAATTTTTCTGACTTGTTCCCACTCTTGATTGGTCTACCAAATGATTTTAAACCTCTAATAATTTTGCTAAACCTAGAAAATATTTCCTCCACTAATTCTCCATCCTTCATTTGAAATAATTCATAGTCTCGAACTAGGAGATTTATCCTTGTTTCTTTTACTTTATTGGTGCTTTTATATGTGACTTCTAATTTATCCCACATTTCCTTTGCAGATTCACAGCTTGATATTTTTTTGTATTCTTCCCCGCTGATAGCATTGCACAACAGATATTTTGCCTTGGCATTCACTTGAATAACGACTGATTGTTCTTTAGTATAATTATCTAAATCAAGAGGATCGGATGATACTATGATTTGACCGTTTTCATCCTTTTTTGGCGAAATTGGAAGATTTTCTTTTTAGATCACACGCCAAACCTTAATGTCATAAGCCATAGTGTAGGTCTCCATGCGCACTTTCCAGTGAGAGAAATGCTGGCCATTGAAGTACGGGGGTCGTACCTGAGATGTTCCTTCTTGAAATAGTGCTCCAACGACTGTATTTGATGCCATGATGTTTTCCTCACTTGTTGTTAAGCAATATTCGTGAGTCCTGCTCTGATACCAATTGAAAGTACAAGGAAGGGGGAGGGTTGAATTGTTACCGATTAAAAAATCTTAGTTGACTAAGTATGAATTTAGTCGACTAGACTTTACGCAATGATTTATTTCAGCACAGATAAACTAAATGAACAGAAAAGTAAAGAAGACACAACAGTTTTTATACTAGTTCGGTACAGGTGTGTTACCTACATCCAGTTCCCTTGGGTCACAAGGGTTCTCTTAGATTTTTGATGAATGTTTACAGCAATGATGGTTTTAGTACATTCACCACCAATGATATACAACGACAATGATTCTTTCTAATGTTGACACAACTCTCGTTTTGTGTTCTAAATCTTCCTATCTTTTGTGACACTTGTAGACTCAAGAATACAGTGTTTGTACTAAGAACTAGAAAGGCTTAGAAACAGATGATGTAGTTGCGTGCTTTGAATGTTCTTCTGCTTCTTCCTTTGTAGCTTGATGAGTCTTCTGTTTCCTTGTCTTCTGGAATTGTATTGCAGCAATTCTAGGAGTCATTTCCTTGTGAGGCATATACATCTAAGAGAAAGACCCGAGGATAGCCTCATGAATCTAGCTTGAAATGGTAGCTAGATTCATCCTTAATTTTGACGAGTTGCTTCCTTCACTCCTCCTTGATTTGAGCTTCTGCATAATCTTCTGGATTTGATCTTTGGCCTTGATTAGCTCTATTCCCATTCTTGCGCGCTAGAGAATCTTTGACAAGGCTAACTGATTGACTTTCCTTCTTTGTTCTATGACTGATTGATTCATTTTCCATGTAAAGCAAAGTTCAAAATACATAGCCGTTGAGTAGGATCTTCTTTCCAAATCTGCATACAAAGATATGTCATTAGTCAATGCTTCTTTTGGATTATTGATCATTATTAAAATTCTAAACTTTACAAATCAAGTGCTTTTTGACGCGGATAAATTTATATCCTAAACCCAATTTATAGCCTTGTGAAACCGGGTTAATCTTCTCTTTTTGATTGCAAATAATTAATGAATGTGCATTTTTTTCCTTGCTTGCTTGTGTTTGCAGCCTAACTGCTTAGAAAATTAAATGAGACTTATAAGTAAGGTAACCGTAATTTTTACATGACTGGGGGTCAAAAACTTTACTCTCAATCAACTGAACCTCCTAATCTAAAACTTTTAGTGGCTCACCCGAGTCAAATTAATTTAATGTGGATTTCTTTTAGGTGGTAAATCAACCATATGAAAAGCTTCTTGAATACCTACTTTTGTCGCAGTTCAATTTTCAAAGCATTTCCCTGGATGGGACATTCCTATTATTTCTTCAATTGATATTTCGACGAAGGATCTCTTTTTTTATTTCACTAAGAATTCTTGCATTAATTATTGAAAAATATTATGGTATGACACATTACCTCTTTTGCCTAATATTCATCTTTCAACTACTTTGCATCAATAGGCAACCAAGTTAACAAAGTATCTCACATTCACGCAAGATTTAGGGAAAGATCGCACTATTATACAAATAACCTATCCTAATATAAGTATTAGCGATTGGTTAATCAATCAAATACAAGACACAAAGTGCTATTGTGTTGATCTTATTCCACTACTCAAAACACCAACTACGAATAAATTGTACATGTAGTAGAATATGAAGGAGAATTCTTGTAATATATATATATATATATA